GTCCCCTCTCTCTGTGTGTACCTGTTCTTGAAGCAGTTGGTGACCAGCTCTCCTTTGGACAGGTGATAGAGCCAGGTGAGCTTCCTGCCGCTGTGCCTGCTGGCGTAAAACGCTGTGAAGCGCTGATAGCTTCGCTCCAGCTGCACAGAAACAGACACAAAGAGGAGAGTTCAGAGTGGTGGTTCTCAAACTGCGGTCCGGGGACCTCCAGAGACTAATTCGGTCGCACTGAGGTCATAAAAGCTACTCTTATGTTAGTCTTACCTCAGAAGGCAGAGCGAAGGTGCAGGACTGCTGGAAAGGCCAAGACCCAGAGCTAAGAACCTGGATACTGAAGTCCACTGTAAGACACAAAGATGATGTAAAATCATTCAAATCATTCATCTGCTCCTCGTAGTGCCTGTTCATCTTTTCTGTCCAGTTTTTGAATATTAAAGAGGTTTTATGTCTCATTGTCTTTACAAAGTTTAAATTAAATGAAATTAAATGAATAAAAACGGGAAGTGGGAACTCTAAATTTAAAGTAAAATCATAATTCTTTGTGCATTTGTGACCTGAATACTTTAGGGATCAGCAGATACGCGTGTGTGTGTGTGTGTGTGTGTGTGTGCGTGCGTGCGTGTGTGCTCACAGTCCAGAGGCTCAGAGTTGGTCAGGTGCTTCTTGAACTGTTCGTTCAGGTCTTTACTGACTCCGATGTCCTGGAACATTCGCTGCAGTTTGGACGTGTACTCGAACCCGCACGCTTGCTGCATGAAAACAAGAACAGACCCAGAGTTAGTGTGAGGAAGCCGAGGGTGAAACCAGAGAGACAGAGACAGTGTGAGCTCTCTGCGGGGCGGACTGAGTCACACCTTCAGTTTGGAGATCATGCTGGCCTCTGCGTCGTCACTGGCGCTGTTCTGGTGGACCAGACGTTTGGCCAACATCTTAGCATAAAACTTCTGGAAAACGTCTTTGTCCTCGATGTACTTGAACACAACCATCTGAAAGAGGACAGACGGACAATCAGAGGAGAGTACTGCACTGCAGCTGTATGTGTACTCCCTCCAGTACAATATATATATATATGTGTACATTTGTGCAAACAGGTCGAAGTATCTCACCACTTGGTTGAGTGTGTCCTCCAGTTCTGCCTCCTCTGGGTTTTTAGAGCTGAAGTAAAAACACACAGTTTATATTTGCCTCAGGACGGACTGCAGTGCATAAAGAATCTAAACGCCTGCTCACTTCCTTCTTCTATCTTCCTATCCTAACATTAGTGTGTGTATTCAGTATGCAGGTAAACCCACACACTCCAACTACTGATGGTTTCCTGCTCTCAAGTCTCCTTCCAGTGATCAGCTCCTCACTACACTCCTCTATTCTGTTATATTTCACTGTCTGTCTCTCACATCTGCACAGCGCTGAGTCAGCACTGTGAGCCCGTCTGTTTGCTGTCTCACCTCGCTGTCTTGTCACTGCTGCATTTTGTACCATACAAAGAACAAACTTGCCACCTTCGACTGTAACAAAAACAAACAATCAATAATGTAGAACCTCAGCGTGTTTCGGCATCACGCTGGAAAAGGGCGAGGGATTAAACCCGGGAACGAATGCTGATTGTACCGTTTCCCACTGAAGACAAGAGTCAGGCGTTAGAGGGCGTAAGTGGGCTTTTAGTCTGAGCACTGTAAAGACTTCCTGTCCACCTCCAATATGACCCACCTCTTCTTCAGTAAAGAGTCGCAGTATCTGGCCAGCAGCTCTGGAGATTTGCTGGACGACTGAGCCATCCTGGTGACGGCGTTGTTGTTGATGAACCGACCACACGCCTGTGAAAACACAGAATATCTGTACATGATATCTCACGGACAGACGCTCCGATTCTCTCCTGTAAAGTTCACGGTGTGATTTTACCGACCTTGTCGAGTGCTGCCACGAAGCCGGCGTCGTTGTTGAAGGCAGACATGACCAAGGCGTTGTACTTCTTATGGACGTCCAGGGTGGTCTGGACGTAAACTTTTGGGTCCTGGAAGAAACAAACACATATTTGTGTTACTGACTGCACTTTTTTACACCTTTACTACGCTCGACTTCCTGCTTTCAGCCCAAATTCTCGACTGATCACGAGAGAGAGAGAAACCTGAATGGCTGCTTCGAGTATCAATCTGATACCTGCACATTAAAAATAGATCTTTTCTAACAAGTGTGTACTACTGAGCCTGTAAGATAATGATAATGTGGCTGATAAGGACTGAAAACCGTCCACAGAATGTTCGGATCAGGACATTAACTCTTGAGAATTGTTATCGGAGGTAAAAAAGCGGTCCGTACGTTGAGCGCAGCCTCTCCACACTTCTCGATGGCGGCCAGACCCTGGTTGTGGATGTGAGTCTCTAGAAGTTTCTTCAGTTCACCCAAACCGTCTGTGATCCGAGACACCAGGTTGTACATCCGTCCCAGGTCTAAGAGGAGATACGGGGAGAGAGACGGTATATCATCAGTCATATTTCCAAAAACAATGCACATCACACAGTCTTTGCAAGTTTGTTACACTGAATATAAAAGTGGAAAGTAAACTGTTGACATTTAGCTGTTCCTGCTCATCAAGGGAAGAAATATCTACACAGTACATCTGTAAGTGCTGGCCTTCTCCTGGCACAATGTCTCCACCTAGTGGCTGCATCTTTAAACCCCTTTGGGAATATTGAGTTAGATATTTGACCCTTTGCAAGCAGCTATGAGTTTATTTCCTGTACCTTCTCTCTTATATCTCCCAGTTGAACCTTCATGTCTTTAATACTGTGAATCAATAATAATTCTGTATCAGGACCTCCAATATTGCAGCAAGGACCCAGTTTTGTGTGTAAAGACAGCAGGATTTCTGTTCAGGGTCAGAGGACACGGCAACACGCAGACCAAAATAAAACGGCAGGTTTACCTTCATTCTTGTCGGCGTCCAGAAGGTTCTGAAACTCGGTGTGGAAGATCTCCAGGTGTTTCTCTATGAGGACCTGCTCACACTTCCTGGCCAGCTCGTCCTGGGTGGATTCATGGAGGTAAACCTGCACACGCCGCTGCTCCTCCAGCAGACGGGCCTCCGCCTGAGGAAAAAACATCATCACTGTCACTCACAGCTGAAATGTTACCCAGAGGAGTTTTAAAAGCACCACAACAAGTAAATCTTTCATAACCTGCCATGAACCTGTTGAATTCATTCAGTGTTTGAATTGGAAAGAGCGTCTACCTTCTTCATGTACTCGGTGACGGGGTTCTGCTGCAGGAACTCTGTGCTCTCACGCGTGTAGAAACGTTCTGTGTCAGTGAGGAACTGACATTCAAAGTACTCCTTGTACACGGACAGCGTGGGGCCTTTGGCGAAGGCGTCCTCCTCGTTCAGACCCAGCTCAACTGGAGGAGGAGAGGGGACACACAAGAACAGATATTAATGCCTTTTAACCACAGGATAAACCCTGTTAGCTTCACAGTTACTCAACATGATTCAATCTTTGTGTCTGGATGGACGACAGATGAGGTTTGTTAAGAGGAATATCTAAGTTTCACTTGAACCAGGACTTGACTTTTAGTATCTAGTGACAATTCAATATTTTATACAGGGTTCGTACAGCTTTACAAGAGAAACATTCAAGCACTTTAAAAGACTCTTAAAGCCTTTTTCATTACATCTAAATTGTTACTATAATGTGATTTTTCGTAATTTGCAGAGAAAGGGATCAACAGAGGACTTATCTAATCAATTAAATGACAACTGAACACGCCAGGATCTTTTCATTTAAAACATTTAAAGATAATTTGGTTTACTCAAATGATTGTGTCGATGAAACACAAGATTATGTTGAAAATCATCAAGTAGTATATTCAGATTCAAAAATATTCCTAAAAATAAACGGAAAGTTTAAAATTAAGCATTATAAAAACTTTGTACCGCCCCGTTCAATACATTATGTCTGTTTACAATCTTGAGAGTTGTTCATCTATGTTGTTAGACATCTCGTAACTTGCCAAACAAAACCATTCAACGTAAACACATCCCATATATACCTGTACTGACTGATTCCCTGCAGACGTTCTACATGAAATGAAATCATTCAGTTAGGTTTTCAGATCTATCCGAAATCCCGATCCGGCCTAAAATCAAACACGATATCAACTGACGACGGAGGAATTATCACAGCTACAGGAAGCAGAATTAAAAGAAGAAGGGCTGAAACTGGCCTCTCGTATTTGAAGGTTGAAGAGATTTGGTGGCTCACACTTTTAAAACTAATCATAAAGGAGGAGTTAAGATCAGTTGTATGTACTTATGGACCTCAGAGTTACAAGCGTGTGGCTTTGCACTTCTTTATTTCTTCACTGTACTCATGGACCTACCATAAGACTGGACCACACCGCTGATCAGTCTGGTGTTAATGGTCTCGCCATTCCTCTCTCTCTCTATCAGCTTCAGCACAGCGTTTGTTACCTGAAAAAGAGAAATTAATGTTAGTATTTGTACAATGACAAAACTAAAAGCTCATGTAAAGACAGACAGAAGGTTAAGGCACACAAACTGAACATTATGAAGTTTAAATCTCTGCGTTGTGCCACTTATTTCTCTCTCCACGTCTATTAAAAAGAAGTAAAACACACCTGTTTGTTGAGGGGTCGGAATAAACACTCCCTCCAGGTCACAAGTGCCAGCTGGGAGGAAGCAGCAGAGTAGGAGAGGAGAGGGCGAAGACAACAACGAGAAGGTTAACAAAAAGGTCAAAAGACTTCAGGCTGCATGTTTGATACTCGTCTCCATTCCTTTTGGACATTCATTCATTGAGTCAGTCAGTCTGTCTTGTGAAAGCTTTATAATGAAGGAATCCTTTAAACCGATGCATCAACACAAACATGAAGCACAGAGGATCGGCTGTGACTTCAGCTCCCAGAGTCATCCACTACGAAGCTCCATCTATTTGGAGAACAGTATTGTTTCTGTACTTACACGATCATGAATAATTTGCAGAAGTAGCTCATTATCTAATGCAGCTCTCTGACAGGTCAGGACTGTGATGTTTTATCAGCTAATCCTTCCATACAATCCTCTGTGTAACACTACTTAAGGTATGATGAGACATTTATCAGACAAACACGCTGGCTTGTCTGCGTACAAAGAAGGAAACAGCATCTGTTTAATGGAGCTCCAGAGGTGGTAGGACGTTGTATGGTGAGTTACGACGGTTGTTAACTTCTTTTATGCTTTCTAACTGCAAGTAAATCTGCAAGTTAAGATGTTAAGTAAGAAGTTGCTATATTTATTAGAAAACAGCGTTAACTTCAGTGGAATGTTTTTGATTATAAGAGGAGGAGAGTTGTTTTCTGATGATACTCAGACTCGAGTTCTCGCTCCGGCTCTACTGAGCGTGATTAGAAGCTAAAAATACTTCGGATCCAAACACACCTTCAGTATTCATTTAAGCTCTGGTGTGAGCAGCGTGCCCCCACAGTACCGGCACAATCCCCTGCAGATAGCAGACGTACCGAGTATATCTCATAGATTCCCTTGCGTCCCTCATCACACTCCCGTCTGACCCAGTGGCGGTTGAGGTAGGCACAGATCCCGTTGAGGACCTTACTAGAGAAACGGTAATCCTCCCACTGCTGGGTGTAAAACTTCAACACACACTCATCCATTAGGTCCTCGCCATCCTGGAGGGAAAACCCGGAACAGAGAGAATATCGGTGAAATGTAGAGAGAGTGTCATCAGGAAATTACACAAAACAAAGAAGTGCTGACGCTGCAGAGACGTGTGTGGACTCACCTTCAGCAGGCTGGTCAAATAGTTCTTCAGGAACTCCTTGAGTCGCTTGTAGAGCTCCAGGCCTACAAACTGAGCCCCACCTGGAGTGGTGGACTTTTTGGAGGGCTTGGCTGGAGGCACCGAGCCCCTGCCCTGGCTGGACTGGTGGACGCTGGTACAATAGTTATATACATGTCTGAGGGGAGAGTTAAGGAACAGACAGACACATCACAGACGACCGAACTCTAACGCTGAATCTGAACAGTGTTAAACCTAAAATAAAGCTTTAATTCATCTCCAACATGTAGCAGATCTTTAGAAGCATGAAACAAGAAGCTACAGCACTGATGGTTGTTATTCCTCACAGGATTTCTTTTATACACAACATGCTACAAAGCTAACTATAACTGGTAACCAGCGATAGATATATATATATTTATATAGCGTAGTTTCAAATGAGAGCTGTCCTCCACAGGGTTCTCGGGATTACCCAGCTCTGAGCTACATGGCTGCGGGTGCCATTTCGTAAGCTTCCAAGGGAATGACGACCATCCTTTACTGCTAGAAAAGCTGCCGAGAAGGAAGGCGAGGTTCTGCCAACAACCAAATGTGCCTCGAGAAAGAATCACCCCCTTTGTACTTCGACAGTGCTGTATTTTAACTGTCTGTACGTCCTGGTTTACCTGTGACTGTAAACCCTACCTGTGTGGATATTAGTGGATATTGTGAATTATGTAAAAGCACCAGACGCTATCGTGAAGTGAAATGTTTGTTGTTTCCTGTTTTCAGGACTTTGTCCTGGGTGTCGCTACCTGAGCAAACCACAATAAAACAGGTTTTGGTTTTTAGAAAGGAGGAAGTAGCAAACCAGTGCGCCACACACACACACACACACAATAGTGGTAACCATTTGCTACTGTAAGGCAACGTCACTAAACTTAAAAAAAAGATCCTTTAGGTGAGATTCTGATTGTCTTGGTAAATAATTAAACTAAATATAAATGTTTACACTCTTAAAGTGAGTAAAACTTAATTAACGTTAATTATTATCTATAAAAATGTCAGATAATAGTGAAAAATGTGCACCACAATTTTCCAAAGCTGACATATTTCATATTGTCTGACTTATATATTCACTAAAACCAGTGAATGAGCTTTTAAATGTACTTAATTCATTTTCACATTTGTAAGACTCGACCCAACACAGAGCTTTAATCGCAGCGCCAACCCTCCCCGATCTCTCAGGATACGTGTAGAGTTCCATGTAGCGTGACTTGGCCATGCTCTGCCGCGTGTACACCTGCTGGATGCCAGCCCGCAGGTCGTCCCATATCTGGTCCAGGCCTATCTGTTTCAGTCCGTGGGGGTTCTGGGTCCTGTTTGACGACATCGTGGAGCTTCGTCCTCTCCTCTCCCTACCGAACAGCGCCCTCCCTTTCCTGCTCCGGCGAGCGTTGGCCCCCCGGCTCCTCTCCTCGGTTGCTTCGGGTCCTGACTCGCTCTGCTCTCAGAGTGCGCGGTCCATCTGGCAGCGGCTGCAGCGCTTCGGGAAGCTTGTCGGTCGTCGGGTTGAGACGGGATTGCAGTCCCACTCTGCACGCCTGGGTGGCGCTGTCTGCCACTCCTCCGCCTAAAAGCTTTGGCACTCCTCACCAGATGACCTGCGAGAGACACGGTGAAGAAAAAACACATTTTGGTTCATGTTTCATTCAGATAAAGGAACAAGCGACGCAAAAAGACGAGTCATTGTCGGGTTTCCTCGGTGCTGATATCCAGGTAGGTTACATGGATTTACAGCTGGCTCTGATCCCTGTGGACGCTGACCCGACCTGACGTCACTCAGATAATGACAGATTAGTCCACTTCAACGCCTCCCTGGGTTCCTTCTGGGCCAGTCGGCGCCCGGTCTCCCTCGTCTACCTTCCTTTTCAGGCCACTACGAGTTAATTTTAACTTTTAAGCATTTGTCCGAAAGCTTCGTCCGAACCTGTAAGCAGTTCAAAGCGTCTCATCACCTGGAGCTGTTGAGTGGAGAGCGCTGTGTCTCCAGCAGCGGAGGACAGTCCTGCTGTTACACAAACCGCTGCACCGGCGCTGTTCTTTTCACATTAAACGTGCTTTGTTTGTGTCTTTGTTCGTTCTTCACCGCACCAAAGTTGGCTGAAAGTTTAGCTCCAGTGAGACGAACGTGGAGTCAGACTGCGACATTACGGCTAACTGACAGACCTGAAGCTGTAATTTCATCCCCACTGTCAGGAACAGAAGAGTTCATCCACATCTTCCAACAGAGAGAGAGAGAGACACTTCATGACCTTTCACACCAGACATGAACATGATTATTAGATTGTTGTGCTCATGTTATTGTTTCACTGAAGCAACAGAAAGAATAAACTCTGATCTAAATGAAGCAGCGGACAGAGAGAACAGAGTAACAGTCCACCAATGATTTTATTTAATTACGGAGATAAAAATAACAACCTAACTCACTGTAGTCACTAAATGCTGAACTCAGCTTCTTAAAACAACACGTTTCCTTTCTCTCAGCTGTTGTTGTGATGTGAGATTTAAAGTTGTGCTCATACACTGTCCGGTCATGTGACAGATGTTGTGAAACAGCTGCATTCAGACATAATCTCACTTCCAAAATGCCCCAAAAAACATAAGAGGGAATGTCCAAGTCGACTAAAAACAGAAAACATTTCATTCTCAAAAGTGAGGATGTTTTTCTTTCAGTCGGGTTCGGACAGACAAAACAAAGTATTTAAAGTTGTCATATTAATTGACAAAGAAAAGAAGTTTCCGCCCTAATTAAAATCAATCAACGCTGCCAACAGCAGTTCAAAAGATGGGAAGGAAGAAAAGCTGCCGATTAAACTAACACACGTTCGTATTAAAGGCTCGTGTGTGTTTAAATATAAAGTGATAGTTGTTATCGGCGGTGCAGCCTCGGAGACTGACGGGTAGAAACTGCTGCGTTCATGTTGGCGGTGCTGCTATATTTAGAGGAGCAGGCGTGCAGTCACCGGCCGTTCACAGCTATTAGGGCCAGAGACTCAGGACGTGACCCGAGTGCAGCAGCGTTAGAGGAAGAGGAGGAAGCTGATTGACCTGTTTGCTTCCTGCTCCTGTTGACGGAGAGTCCAGTGAACCGCTGACGTTTTATTTCTACTAGTTTATCTTGTTTACGTTTATAAAGATGGTGAAAATGAGAATTGACTATTAAAATAGTTGCTGACTGTCAAAAAACGAATAAATATTAAAATATAAGAGTAACACAATCCAACTACCAGCACAGGAGGTGAACCTGGCTGAGAGGTTTCAGTTCAGTTTGTACGGCCGCAGACGTGCTTCAGTGTGTTCACTCGGTGCTCGTGGTGAAGGATATCTCCAGATTATGAACTATAGTTTGCAGTTTAACAGCTTAAAAACATTCAGGCAGAAATGTAAGCAATCGGTGGGCAGAGCCGAGTAAAGTTCAACATCTCAACCCTCGAAACAGGAGAACGCTGACATATTATAAATCACACCTCTGAGGTTTGGATTAGATCTGATGATCTAATCACAATATTTATACTCCTGAAGAAACTTTAAAACCATCAAACTCTGCGTCTGTGTTTATATTTACCCTCCTAACCTCAGGCAGGATGTGTTAACCGATGGACTCAGAACCCAACCCGTCTCGGTCCAGAGTCCAGACCTGCTCCAGCCTCCGCTCCTCTTCAGCGGCTCCTCCTCGCTACACTGGGAATAAAACAGGCCCCTACCTGAGGTGCACCGGCAGTTGCCATGGCAACTGGGGCAGACAATGCCTCCGGGCGGCGACTCGGCAAACAGACGGCGGAGAGAGTTTCTATTCACCGCCGGTTAAAGAGGAGAAAGAAAAGGTGTCCTTCACTGCAGCTCTGGGGTCAGATTACAGATTCCCACAGCAGTATCTGACCTGCGACCAGTTTCTACAGTATCTGACCTGCGACCAGTTT